CCTGCTTTGCCATAGGCCAAAGCGGCTTTATTTATCAATCAATGAGAGCAACACGTATTCACAGTGCCCAGAAGGACAGCCCACATCAATGAAGCAGAGAGAGCAAACACAAAACGGCACTAGTCTTTTGAACCTCAGCAGCACTCTCAGAGACACACTTCCTGCAGCAAAGCCACACTTCCTAAGCCTCAACAAATAGCCACTAACTGGGGACTAAGTATTCCAATTCCACCACATTCTACACGACCCCCCCCCCAGCCCCATCATCTTGTGGCCATATCATAAAGCAAAATGCATTTAGTCCAACTTCAGAAGTCCCTATAATCTTTCTAGTCTCAATATTATTTTAAAGTCCAAAGTCTTTTTTGAGACTCAAGACAGTCTCTTGACTGTAGCCCCCTGAAAAAATCAAAAAGCAAATTATATATTTCCAACATACAATGGCACAGAATATACATTACTATACAAGGGACGAATGTGAGCTTACTAAGGAAACACTGGACCAAAGCAAGACCCAAACTCCAAATCCTGTATCTCCATGTCTGATATCAAAGGGCTCGGAACGCTTCACCCCTCCAACTTTGCTGCCCGCCTCTCTCTTGGGCTGGTTCCACTCCTGATGTGCAGTTCTCTTTGGTTCTAGCATCTTCCACATCTTGGGAGTCTCTCACGGAATACAGGCTTCATTTCCACAGCTTCATGCAATGGCCTCTTAGGGACGTCCTGCCACACACATGGCCTCAGCAGCTCTGTGAAACCACAGATTTGTAAGATTCCACATCTCCATCACTTGTGTGTCCCTTCATGACTCTAAAGCTGTAATTACTGAATGACACTGCTAAGTGTGGCTGCCGGCTTGGAAGGAGCCCTGGACCCCTTGAATCACATTTGCAGTAGCTTTTGTCTGTTGCTCCTTTTCAAGGAGCAGAACATCCCTTAGGTCTTTTCCTTTTACAAGCCGGGAGCTTAGCTGAATGGGGTCTTGCCCTGAAGGCACTCTTTCCTTTATTCCACTGTAGATCAGACCTCTCCTAAATCTTAAATCTGTCTCTTTCAGCACACCCTTTGGCTGCAACATTCAAACATTAAGTTTCTGGTGCTCCTTTCCTCTTCAAACTGTACATATGGTGCTGGAGCTGCGAGTTGCTACATCTTGCAGGCAAGAGGAAGTTGACTCAGACCCTGGGTGGTATCCTGAGCATAGGAATCTTCAAAGCCTGCCCCCATAGTGACACATTTCTTCCAACAAGGCCATACCCACCCCAACAAAGCTTCTAATAGTGCCACTCCCTGTGAGATTATGGGGGCCAGTTATATTCAAACTACCACACCAATGCTGTTGGTTGCACGCCAATCCTGGATGGGAAGCTCCTGTTGCTGAATGCACGACACACTTTGGTTGCAGGCCATGGAGAAAATCAGACTGAGGCTAAGTGGAAAGTTCCCTCCTTGCTGGATGGTTTTAGAAGACATTATGTGTAGCTAGAGTTTTCCTGCCTTGCCCACAGTCAGGACAAGTCTCTGTCACC